CTTCTTCGTCTTCTTCTTCTTCTTCTTCTTCTTCTTCTTCTTCTTCTTCTTCTTCTTCTTCTTCTTCTTCTTCTTCTTCTTCTTCTTCTTCTTCTTCTTCTTCTTCTTCCTCCTCCTCCTCCTCCTCCTCCTCCTCCTCCTCCTCCTCCTCCAGGAAAAAATAGTCCAGTTGTCTTTTTTTTAAAAAAGCACCTTTGAGATAAGAGTCAACACAATACAAGGAAGGTTGGACTTTGTTTGTGGCTACATAGAGATTCTAAGCTGATTCCTCTTTTGACTCCGCCCACAGGTTCTGCCACTCCTTCCATTCCATCAACTGAATCTTAGAAATCTTAGAAAAAGTCTTTCTAGCTTGTCCTATTTTTGCAGGCCAGCGCAATCCCTCTTCATTATTAAACATTTATAGATAATGCTACTGTATGGATAAAAAAAATATCTGATTTCCGTTCATCTGTGCCTGCACATCTTCTCCGTTTTTCCCAAACTCCATTAACAAAGGTGCACTTTCTATGTGCAGGTTCTGAATGACCCCCATCCTTCCATTTTCAAATCTCTTTGAAGATAAAAAGAGTGTAGAAAAAGAGACATATTGTTGATGTCAATCATGAGAAACTCGGGGGGGGAGGGATGTTCCCCCATATCTACTCTCAGCTACTAAATCATGTTTGATCAAGCAGCACTATTGCCTGCTTCAGAGGACAGGAAAAAAGGCATCCCTTCTACCAGCAGAAGAAAAAGCAGTGAAATAAGTTAGGAAATCTCATGAAATATCATAATAGGTGGAGCTCTCTTCTCCTAGAGGTTTATTCTTGACCCTTACCAAATTTAAAACAGCGTAAACATTGCCAAATCCAGCACTTGTGGTAATTGTTCTAATTTTAAGGAAAAGCTTTATTATTAAAAATCCATTGAAGATATTTGATGGGGAATAGTACGGTTTCACTAACGAGTGACAGAGTGTGAGAGCAGATGCTTGAAACGATCTGAATATTTCCCTTTGGCAATCTTCTTTAACGTTTAGGTCAAATGTTCAAAAAAGGTGGCATCTATAAATGTATTTATATAGAATGTGAATGCTAGGGTGTAGGTTTCATTTGTGGTTCCTTCGTTAAAGGGACCTTAGTTAGTTAGTTAAGCCCCTTACAACTTTTGTGGAGAAGGTAGACCATTTCTGGGACCCAATACGTTGTCCTCCTTGAATCAGCAAATGTCACGTAATCGTGGTGGTCATTAAAAACAAGCCAACTATGGTCACAAACACAGGGCTCCTAAGGAATAGAAAACCAGTTTTGTTAACCAGCCTTTGTTAAGGCACCAGGCTACAAAGTGGGAGACCTTGAATTCTAGTCCCAATTTAGGCATGAAAGCCAGGTGGGTGACTTTGGGCCAATCACCAAGAGATGGTGAATTCTAGTCCCACCTTAGCCATGAAAGTTGTCTGGGTGACTTTGGGTCAGTCACCAGGAGATGGTGAGTTCTAAACCCACTTTAGGTGTGAAAGCTGTCTGAGTGACTTTGGGGCAATCATTGGGAAACTCTGAGTTCTAGTCCTGCCTTAGGCATGAAAGCCATTTGAGTGACTTTGGGCCAATCAGCAAGAGACTCTGATTTCTAGTCCCGCCTTAGCCATGAAAGCCAGCTGGGTGTTATTGCACCAATAACTAGGAGATGGAGAGTTCCAGTCCCATCTTAGACATGAAAGGCAGCTGGGGGACTTTAGGCTGTTGGAAGAAAAGTCTTCATCAGGGTCCAGTCCAAGCCAGGAATAAACAAAATGGAGACTGCTTTAGAAAGAAGGTTGCAGTTTATTGAAGAGGAGAGCCACACAGAAAGATGGCTCTGGAAGAAAAAGAGAGTGAGCACATGTAAGGAGTAGATTTTTATACCCTCTGGAGCCTTTTGTTTGGAGTTGCTTCCTGTTCCTGTGGCATGAACATTGATCTGAGTCTGTGCTCTTTTGGTATCTGTGGGTTAATACTATTATGTCCTGTCTTGGGTGGGGTATGTAGATTTTAGGTGTCTTTATCTTCTTAATCTTCTAGCTGGGGGCCTCCAACCTTTCTGGATGGTTTACATCTGCATTTCTATAGAGCTTGGGGGGGGAGGGAGACTTGGGGCTATTAAGAAAAAACTGGGCATGCTTTTCTGCTTCTTTAAGATCCTTTAAGGAAATATATTTTTCTGCCCTTTTAATATTTCCTTCTCTGGGGGGGGGCTGACTTCCCACAAGGCCAATCATCAGAAAACAGTGAGTTCTATTCCCACATTATGCAAGAAAAGCCAGCTAGGTGACCTTAGACAATTCACTAGGAGACTGTGATTTCTCGTCTCACTTTTGGCATAAAAGCTGGCTGGGTAACTTTGGGATAATTACTCTCAGCTCACCTCACCTCACCTGTTGTAGGGAAAATAGGGAGGGAGGGAGGCAAGCTGGATATATTTGCTGCCTTGGGTTATTTGCCAAAATAATAAAGGTAGGATACAAACAAACAAGGATATTTGCTGCCCATAGAATCCTCCATGCAAGAAACTCAAGAGTTCTTGATGTCTGCAGTGACGTATCGCTTCTTTGCCACCTGAAACTGATGGTTTCAAAACTCAGAATTATAGAATTGTTCCCTGAATTCTTCTGCATAACTAAAAGTAAGGACACACTTGGAATACTGCATCCAGTTTTGGTCACCACGATGTAAAAAAAGATGTTGAGACTCTAGAAAGAGTGCAGAGAAGAGCAACAAAGATGATCAGGGGACTGGAGGCTAAAACATATGAGGAACGGTTGCTGGAATTGGGTCTGTCTAGTTTAACGAAGAGAAGGACGAGGGGGGACATGAGAGCAGTGTTCCAGTATCTCAGGGGCTGCCCCAAAGAAGAGGGAGTCAAGCTATTCTCCGAAGCACCTGAAGGCAGGACAAGAAGCAATGGGTGGAAACTAAGCAAGGAGAGAAGCAACCTAGAACTAAGGAGAAACTTCCTGACAGTGAGAACAATTAACCAGTGGAACAACCTGCCTCCAGAAGCGGTGAATGCTCCAACACTGGGAGTATTTAAGAAGAGACTGGACAGCCATTTGTCTGAAATAGTATAGGGTTTCCTGCCTGAGCAGGGGGTTGGACTAGATGACCCCCAAGGTCCCTTCCAACTTTATTATTATTGTTATTGTTGTTGTTGTTGTTGTTGTCGTCGTCATCATCATCATCATCATCATCATCATCATCATCATTATTATTATTATTATTATTATTATTATTATTATTATTATTATTATTATTATTATTATTATTATGTCTCCTGCCTCCCAGTCTTTACCTGTAAGTTAAGACTGGGAGGGCAGGAGACTTTGAGTTCTGCGGCAGAATCCAGGGAACAATTCTATAATTCTGAGTCATTATTCTCCTGCAAAACTGGACCAGATGTAGTTCAACTTCTTCTGTGCTCCTACTACTTCTGGTTAATTAATTAATCAGTGGAACAATAGTTTGTTCCCTGGAGGTTTTAAAAAAAGAGTCTGGAAAGCCATTTGTCCAGAATGGTATAGGGCAGGGGTAGGCCACCTTGGCTCTTTTATGACTTGTGGACTTCAACTCCCAGAATTCCTGAGCCAGCCATGCTGAGGGGAAAAGGAGAGGTTTCCAAGCTGAGCCATGCTGGCTCAGGAATTCTGGGAGTTGAAGTCCACGAGTCATAAAAGAGCCCAGGTTGCCTACCCCTGGCATACAGTTTCCTGCCTGAGCAGTGGGTTGGACTAGAAGATCTCCAAGGTCCCTTCCAGCTCTGTTATTCTGGTTCTTCTCTTGGTCTCCTGCTCCTCTTTCTGCTGACCTCCCTCCCTTTTGCTCTCCTTCTCCAGGTGATCTGTACCTTGGTGGCTGCTTTCCTTCACTTTTTCTTCCTCTCCTCCTTCTGCTGGGTGCTGACAGAAGCTTGGCAATCCTACATGGCCGTGACGGGCAGGCTACGGAACCGCATCATCCGCAAACGTTTCCTGTGCCTCGGATGGGGTGAGCATCCCTCGCTCAAACTGTGGCGAAAGTTACGATCTGTGTTTTGCGGTGTAGCCTGTGTACCAAATGCGAATCGAAAGGTTAAGGCTGGCTTTAGACCTTGCAAAAACGGAGGCTTCGCCGCCAGGCATGCATGAAGAATCCTGAAGAATCAGGATCAGGTTCACACCTTAAGTTGATCGATCTTCTTGATCTGCTGCTCAAGCCCTATAGACCAGGGCTTTTCAACCTTTTCACCCATTGTACCACTTTTAGGATATGGCAACATCCGAGTACCACCAGTCGCCTAGCAAGGTGTCAAAAACTTGATGACCAAAAAAAAAAAAAGGAAAAAAGTGATAAAATACAGGTAGTCCTCAACTTACAACAGTTCGCTTAATGACTGTTCGAAGTTACAATGGCACTGAAAAAAGTGCTCCCCAAGGCACAGCTGAGCAAGACACCTGCCTGCCCGCCCGGCAGTGCTCTTCCTCCTGTCCGAGGTTTTCATTGTTGTGAGCATTTCTGTTGAGGATTGGAAGTGGGGGTGGGGTGGGGGGTGTTTGGTTTTTATTCCCCCCGTCAGCTGGGTGGTTGCAGCAGGTTTTGGTCACTTCACATGACCCTGGGACACTGTGACCGTCATAAATCTGAATCAGTTGCCAAGCATCTGAATGTAAATCACCAGACCCTGGAGAGGCTGCAACATTCCAGCTGATCGGCGCTTCTTCTGGGCTCAGCGGAAGCACCAGGATCAGCGCCGAGCTCCAGCTGGAAACTGTCGCTGATCCTGGGGCTTCCACTGAGCTCTGACAGTCCTGAAGAAGCGCCGATCAGCTGGAAAGCGGCACTGATCCTGGCGCTTCCGCTGAGCCCTGACAGCCCTGCAGCTCCAGCCGTCTCTCGCTCAGGCTTGTGCGGTGCTGCCACCGGTTCAGCTCATTCCCCTCCCCCGCTACTTTTCTAGGATGGTTGTGTACCACCTGTCAGGTGCCAATGTACCACAGGTGGTACCCGTACCACTGGTTGAAAAGCCCTGCTATAGACAAGGATCTGGTCAACCGAAGTTCCATACGGGGAGTCCTCGCCTTACGACCAGAATTGAGCCCAAAAATTTCGGTTGCTAAGGGAGACGTCTGCTAAGTGAGTTTTGCCCCATTTTACGGTTTTTCCTGCCACCGTTGCGAGATGAATCAGTGCAGTTGTTAAGTGAGTAACCCGGTTGTTAAGTGAATCTGGCTTTTCCCCATTGACTCTGCTTGTCAGAAGGTTGCAAAAGGGGGTCAGATGATGACCTCGGGACATGGCGACTGTCGTATCTATGAGCCGGTTGTCAAGTGTCTGAATTTTGATCACGTGACCTTGGGGATGGCCATAAGTGTGAAAAATGATCATAAGTCCCTGTTTTCAGTGCTGTTGTAACTTCGAACAGTCACTAAATGAATGGTTGTAAGTTGGGGACTATTTGTACTAAATTGGCGCTAGATAAGAGTGAAGAAGGAGAGTGCAAAAGTTGGCTTGAAACTCAACATTAAGAAAACCAAGATCATGGCATCCGGCCCTCTCAATTCCTGGCAAATAGATGGGGAAGAAATGGAGGTAGTGACAGATTTTATCTTCCTGGGCTCCAAGATCACCACAGATGGGGACTGCAGCCAAGAAATTAAAAGACGCTTGCTCCTGGGGAGGANTTGAAACTCAACATTAAGAAAACCAAGATCATGGCATCCGGCCCTCTCAATTCCTGGCAAATAGATGGGGAAGAAATGGAGGTAGTGACAGATTTTATCTTCCTGGGCTCCAAGATCACCACAGATGGGGACTGCAGCCAAGAAATTAAAAGACGCTTGCTCCTGGGGAGGAAAGCTATGGCAAATCTAGACAGCATACGAAAAAGCAGAGACATCACCCTGCCAACAAAAGTGCGTATAGTCAAGGCCATGGTTTTCCCAGTTGCAAGGTACGGCTGTGTAAGTTGGACCATAAGAAAGGCTGAGCGCCAAAGAATGGAGGCCTTTGAACTCTGGTGCTGGAGAAGACTCCTGCGAGTCCCCTGGACTGCAAGGTGATCAAACGGTCAGTCCTAGAGGAGATCAACCCTGACTGCTCTTTAGAAGGCCAGATCCTGAAGTTGAAACTCAGGTACTTTGGCCACCTAATGAGAAGGAAGGTCTCACTGGAGAAGAGCCTGATGCTGGGAAAGATGGAGGGCAAGAGAAGAAGGGGACGACAGAGAATGAGGTGGCCAGATGGAGTCACTGAAGCAGTAGGCGTGAGCTTAAATGGACTCTAGAAGATGGTAGAGGACAGGAAGACCTGGCAGAACGTTGTCCATGGGGTTGCGATGGGTCGGACATGACTTCGCAACTAACAACAACAAAAAGTGTCAATAGAAGTCAAGAAGGATTAAACTTAGACCGTTAGTGGGAACGTAATGATTATAGGCTAATGACTTGCTTAACTCTGTCCCTTCTACTACTGTCTCTGCAGTCAAAAATCTCAAGAATTAGCAATTCTTGAAGTTTTAGAGGTTAATCCCAAATTTGTCATATTGTGCCAATGGTAATTAGATTGCTGGGTGGAAATCTTTCCTAACATCTTATACCAAATACCCATTTGGGATGTTTGCATATGCCATAGTGTCTGATTTTTCTCTAGGCTGCACCAACAGAGGGACAGAGTCAAGATCATATGAAGTGTTAGTACCACTTTACAAGGCCTTGGTAAGGCCACACTTGGAATACTGCATCCAGTTTTGGTCACCACGATGTAAAAAAGATGTTGAGACTCTAGAAAGAGTACAGAGAAGAGCAACAAAGATGATTAGGGGACTGGAGGCTAAAACATATAAGGAATGATTGCTGGAATTGGGTATGTCTAGTTTAATGAAGAGAAAGACGAGGGGTGACATGATAGCAGCCTTCCAATATCTCAGGGGCTGCCCCAAAGAAGAGGGAGTCAAGCTATTCTCCAAAGCGCCTGAAGGCAGGACAAGAAGCAACGGATGGAAACTAATCAAGGAGAGAAGCAACCTAGAACTAAGGAGAAACTTCCTGACAGTTAGAACAATTAACCAGTGGAACAACCTGCCTCCAGAAGCGGTGAATGCTCCAACACTGGAAGTTTTTAAGAAGAGACAGCCATTTGCCTAGAATGATATAGGATCTCCTGCTTGAGTGGGGGGATTGGGCTAGATGACCTCCAAGGTCCCTTCAAACTCTGTTCTTCTTGAGAAGGCTAGGAAGCCATAGATAGTGAAAACAAATAGCCCAGTGATAAGTGAATCAATCATTTAACTAAGAAGAAAATTGTAGACACTTTGAACATATTGGATACAAACATGTTTAGCCTTGAGAAGAAATTGCTAATTGGGATAGAACATCAACCCTTAAATGGATGTCACAGGCTCTCTTTAGTGATGGATAAACACGGCTGGAAAGTAATTCTAAGAACAGGAACCAGAAAATTGATAATTGGCAGTTACTGAGCAGATCACCGTGGCACAGCTGAAGGTCTATCCAGACAGATTTCAATTCATTCTGCTTTGAGGTGTACCTTCTTAGAAAATAAGACTTGAATTTTCTCTTGATTGTAGCCCCCATATTGTTTTTATGGTGGACCAATATATATTTTCACCGTCTTACCTTCCTACTCTTTCATTCAGATAAGACTGATATGGAGAAATACCGATTTGGATATCTTAGAGGGGGAGGAGGTGGTTAAGGTTGGAAGGATGAAGTGGGACAAGGATGATTTTGAGGAGGGTCTAGGACAGGGGTCTTCAAACCTGCCCCTTTTATGACTTGTGGACTTCAACTCCCAGAATTCCTCAGCTAGGCACAAGTCATAAAAGGGCCAAGTTTGAAGACCCCTGGTCTAGGACAACTCCCCATGGTTGACTCAGCCTGTTGTGATTCCGTGCCAACCTGTGATCCCAGTAGTTGAGTCTGGGGAATCAGAGGAGGAGGAGGAGGAGGAGGAGGAGGAGGGGCCTGGAGAGCCATCAGAGTTGGAGGGAGGCTCTGATGAACTGCAGGACTTACAAACTAATGAAGAGGCTGGTCCTTCCACTCGTCATCAAGCTAGCTGTGCTGGGAAACTGAGTCGGACTCAGAGGAAGCGCAGCTGGAAGACCTCAGAGACATTCATAAACGTAGACAGGTCACATGAGTAGGACAGAGGGAGGCAATGGTGCGACTCCAGGGGAAGAGGAGAAAGCAGTGAGAAGCCATGCCTTGGGGGCTTTGTAACAAAAAGGGAACGTGTGGGCAGGGCTGGTTGCTGGAGGCAACCGTTTGCAAAGAACTTCAGAGTCAAGAGATCATGGTCTGTTTATTTTGCCTGTGAGTTATTTCCTGTTTGACTCGTGCTCCGTTTTTGCTTTTGGACAAGGTCTCCGTTGGAAAAGTGTTCTGTTGCTTTTGTTTTCTGGGACAATTATCAGGTCTGTAACTCAAATAAAAAGGGTTTATTTTCCAGTCTACTGTTCAAAGAAGGGTTGTCTTTGTGGAGTAACAAGGACGTGCGTAGGCTGGGACAGAACACAGCCCAGCCAACTCACCACAGGACAACTGACTGCGATCAACTTGCTGCGGGACCACTCCCTGTGGGACAATTCAACACAGGATAACTCAAGAGAGGGACAAGTGATCTTCTAATTTCTAGGTCTTCTAACTTGAGAAGGTTGAAACCAAAAAGACGAAGACAAAGCCTGCTGCATTGTTTAATGAAGAGAAGGACGAGGGGGGACATGATAGCAGTGTTCCAATATCTCAGGGGCTGCCACAAAGAAGAGGGAGTCAAGCTATTCTCCAAAGCGCCTGAAGGCAGGACAAGAAGCAACGGGTGGAAACTCATCAAGGAGAGAAGCAACCTAGAACTAAGGAGAAACTTCCTGACAGTGAGAACAATTAACCAGTGGAACAACCTGCCTCCAGAAGCGGTGAATGCTCCAACACTGGAAGTTTTTAAGAAGAGACTGGACAGCCGTTTGTCCGAAATGGTATAGGGTTTCCTGCCTGAGCAGGGGGTTGGACTAGATGACCTTCAAGGTCCCTTCCAACTTTATTATTATTATTATTATTATTATTATTATTATTATTATTATTATTATTATTATTATTATTATTATTATTATTATTATTAAATCACTTGTCCCTCTCTTGAGCTATTCCGCATTGAATTGTCCCACAGGCAGTGGTAAGATTCAGCCGGTTTGCACCAGTTCGGCAGAACCGGTAGCTAATTTTTTGTTGCCCGTTCCCAGAACGGATTTCCGGGAGCGACATCCACGCAGAGAACCGGTTGTTCACCTATTTGAATCCCACCACTGCCCACAGCGAGTTGTCCCACAGCGAGTTTATCACCGTGAGTCAGCCGGGATGAGTCAGCTGGGATCACCGGTCCCATTCCATCTTGAGGAAGACTCTTGTCAATAGTAACCCGAAGCCAGATGCCCTCTTTTTAGACCTGATGGGGAGAGTTGATGTGGGAGGTTTTCAAGAAGAGATTGGACAGCCATTTGACTGGGATGGTAGAGGCAGTGGTGGGATTCAACCAGTTCGCACCAGTTCGGTAGCCAATTTTTTGTGGCCCAGGTCCAGAACGAACTTCCAGAAGTGGCATCCAGACAGACAACCGGTTGTTCACATATTTGAATCACCACCACTGGGTACAGGGTCTCCTGCCTGAGCAGGGGGTTGGACTAGATCAGTGGTTCTCAACCTTTTTAATGCCGCGACCCCAACCGGTCGTAAGTCGAGGACTAAACCGGTCGTAAGTCAAGGACTAAACCGGTCGTAAGTCAAGGACTAAACCGGTCATAAGTCGAGGACTAAACCGGTCATAAGTCGAGGACTACCCAACTGGTCGTAAGTCGAGGACTTTCCCTGCCCGGGAGCGCCGTGCATGCGTGGTTCCGCCCCCTGCGCCGGCCGAGGCGTAGCTGGCAAGCGGCAGAGACGGAGCAGGCCGACCACCAGCTGGCCCAGCCCAAGGGAGGTAAGGCACCCACCGGAAAAGGGGGAAAAATGGCAGACAGCCTTGCTTGGCGACCCCCTTGAAATGGTTGATCGACCCCAAATGGGGTCCCGACCCACAGGTTGAGAACCACTGGACTAGATGACCTCCAAGGTCCCTTCCAACTCCGTCATTCTGTTACACTCTCCTGGATGTATGAAAGGATATGACAGTTTGTGCTGTGGATGATTGTTATGGTTTGAGGAGAAAGTTTTTTTTTGAAAAAAAATGGGAAATTCCTTTCCACCTGCAGGGTGAGTGCGACCATCGCAACGGATTTCCAGACATTCTGCTTGTTCTAACGGAGAACCCAGACCAATCAATGTTTTCCCTCTCTAGAGACTCTCAACTGTTTACCGTTGCCCGGCTGTATTGAACGAAAGGATTGTAATTTATTTACTCTTGGTCTTACCTCATGTAATCCTGGCTTAATTGTCATTTAATATCCTTCAGAACTCGGCCAGCAAGACAGCTGCCAGATTCACCAGGGTAGTTAATTCGCCTCTGGCCAAGATGCTTTTATTTAAAGTCTCGTTGAACGACATGCTGATAAAGAGCTGGGCTCTGGGTAGGAAGAAAGTAAAGAGATCAGACAGGAAAAAAATGGCAATTTTTAGAACCGCAGAAGCTGATTCTGAATAATTCTGAATAAGATTAGGCTAGAAATCGTGGGTGCTCCATCACTGGAAATTTTCAAGAAGAGACTGGACCTGTCTCAGATGGTATAGGTTCTCCTGCTCTAGCAGGGGGCTGGACTAGAAGATCTCCAGGCTCCCTTCCAGCTCCATTCTATTCTATTCTATTCTATTCTATTCTATTCTATTCTATTCTATTCTATTCTATTCTATTCCATTCCATATTTTCTATTCTATTCTATTCTATTCCATTCCATTCCATATTTTCTCTTCTCTTCTCTTCTCTTCTCTTCTCTTCTCTTCTCTTCTCTTCTCTTCTCTTCTCTTCTCTTCTCTTCTCTTCTCTTCTCTTCTCTTCTCTTCTCTTCTCTTCCCTTCCCTTCCACTCAACTCCACTTCACTCCACTCCACTCCATTCCATTCAATTAGATATTTTCTATTCTATTCTATTCTATTCTATTCTATTCTATTCTATTCTATTCTATTCTATTCTATTATTCTATTCCATCCCATTCCATATTTTCTCTTCCTGTCCCTTCCCTTCCCTTCCCTTCCCTTCCCTTCCATTCCATTCCATTCCATTCCATTCCATTCTATTCTATTCTATTCTATTCTATTCTATTCTATTCTATTCTATTCTATTCCATTCCATTCCATTCCATTCCATATTTTCTCTTCCCTTCCCTTCCCTTCCCTTCCACTCCACTCCACTCCACTCCACTCCATCACTCCATTCCATTCCATCTCTTCTCTTCTCTTCCCTTCCCTTCCCTTCCCTTCCCTTCCCTTCCCTTCCCTTCCATTTCATTCCATTCCATTCCATTCCATTCTATTCTATTCCATTCCATTCCATTCCATTCCATACCATTCCACTCCATCTCTTCTCTTCTCTTCTCTTCTCTTCTCTTCTCTTCTCTTCTCTTCTCTTCTCTTCTTTTCTCTTCTCTTCTCTTCTCTTCTCATTCCACTCCACTCCACTCCATCTCTTCTCTTCTCTTCTCTTCTCTTCTCTTCTCTTCTCTTCTCTTCTCTTCTCTTCTCTTCTCTTCTCTTCTCTTCTCTTCTCTTCTCTTCTCTTCTCTTCCATTCCATTTCATTTCATTTCATTTCATTCTACATCCATACTAAGAAGGGGCAAAATGGATTTAGAAGAGGAGACAGGAGGGAGAGATTCTTGTTCCTCAAGGCAATTTTTGTTTCTGCTTTAATAAATCTTTGTGCAACTGTTTTTTTTATTGTGTCTCACAACATTTTAATTGATTCTCTGTAGGTCTCCCTGCCTTGGTGGTTGCTATCTCTGTGGGGTTTACTAAAGCCAAGGGCTACGGCACCGGGAACTAGTGAGTAAGCAATTCCTCCTTTCCCTTTTCTGTCCAGAAATAGGAGTAATTCAGATTTGATATCCGTTAGCCTCATCATTGAGGAATAATCACTTGTTCTCTAGCCAGTTTCCTCCACGTTGCATCTGGGGAGGAAAAAACTCTTGACTTCCACCATTTTTCTTTACATGTGCTAAATTCTCTTTTCTTCTTCCTTGCCTAGCTGCTGGCTGTCTTTGGAGGGTGGTCTACTCTATGCCTTCGTGGGACCGGCAGCTGCTGTGGTTTTGGTATATGATTTCCCCCCCCTTCTAAATTTCCTCCCTCTACTATCATGCTTGAACAAGTTACAAAGCCCATGTTTTAGGATCTTTGTTTTGCTTTCAAGATGAACTAAGCCCCAATGGAGTGCGGAAGTTCTTAAACTAAGGCCATTTTTAAAATTCTGGGTTAATTCAGAACGGAAAAGGCCAAATTCATGGGTAAATTTCTAGGAAAAATTGGATTGTGTGTTGTTGTTTCTTAAAAAAAAGTGGGGTGGGTTAAGAACAGAAAGAGAGCAGAGAAGAGCATCCAAGATGATTAGGGGACTGGAAGGCTAAACCATACGGAGAATGGTTGAAGGAACTGGGAAGGTCTACTCCAGGGGTAGACAACCTTGGCTCTTTTATGACTCGTGGACTTCAATCCCAGAATTCCTGAGCCAGCATAACTCAGGAATTCTGGGAATTGAAGTCCACGAGTCATAAAAGAGCCAAGGTTGCCTACCCCTGGTCTACTCTAACTAAGAGAAGGACTAGAGATGACATGATAGCAGACTTCCAATATTTGAAGAGTTTTCACGGAGAAGAGGGGGTCACGTTATTCTCCAAAGCACCTGAGAACAGGAAAAGAAATGGATGGAAACCTATCAAGGAGAGATCTCACCTAGAATTAAGGAGAAATTTCCTGACAACGAGAACAATTAACCAGTGGAACGGCTTGCCTTCAGAAATTCTGGATGCTCCATCACTGGAGGTTTTTTAAGAAGAGACAACCATTTGTCTGAAATGGTACAGGGTCTCCTGCTTGAGCAGGGGGCTGGACTAGAAGACCTCCAGGGCCCCTTCCAGCTCTGTTAATCTGTGATCTGATTTCACCCATCCGCAGTGAAACCTTTTTAAATCTCAGCAATCCTACGATGAGAAGGGATAAACTTTTTATGGATGGGAATTTTTTTTTTAGAATTTAGAACAGTGTGGCTGATGGGTACATGTTTTGGGGGGTATAATCAAGATATTTGTCATTAAGCCTCTCCCTTTTCAGCCACAAATTGTACCCTATCTCTAACTTAATGCCAAGCATTAGCAAACGGGGGCCAATTTATTTATTTATTTAAAACAAAGATGGTTGAAAGGAGCCACGGACATCACCAATCGTGATTTTTTTTCAGTAATCCAAATTGAACCCCCCCCATCATTTTGCATAGAATTAAATAAAACGGGGACAATTTATCCCTTTAAATGAATCTCAGAAGGCAATCGGTCCTGAAGGCTATTTATTGCTTATGTTAATTAAATAGAGCCTCCAGGGTCAGGGGCAATATGCCTTTTAACTGCTCAAGCGAGAGAAGCATCAGTTGAGAAAATTAAGCAGAGGGTGTAAATGGTTGTATTATCTGGGAGTGATTTCCCTGGACAGCAAAAGAAGAAATTGGCTGCGATTTTATTTCCCTTGGTAGACTTTGGTCATGGGTCTAACACCTGTGTGAAGCTACAATCAGGCCAAACTGGGAGGGTTCCAGCTATCCTACAGCTAGTAAAATAAATGTAAATAAAAGCTATCAGGCTCTCTGGGGACTTCTTCTGAGCAATATGCTTTCAGTCACTCTTTCTAGGACAGGGGTGTCCAAACTCTGGCAATTCGAACACTTGTGGACTTCAACTCCCAGAATTCCCCAGCCAGCCAATATGCAGATTATCAACAAGTATAGCTTGTTCGTATTAGCAAATTAACCTGTTTTCTGGATTTTAACATGAGTCCCGATCCTTACAATACTCAAACAGGCTGCCCACTGCACCCTAAACTAACCAAGATCAAAATTAAACCATGCCATGGTGGTGCAGTGGTTAGAATGCAGTATTGCAGGCTAACTCGCTGCTCAGTGCCAGGAGTTTGATCCTGACGGGCTCAAAAGTTGACTCAGCCTTCCGTCCTACCGAGGTCGGTAAAATGAGGGCCCAGGTTTGGGGGGCAGTGGTGGGGTTCAGCCAGTTCACACCAGTTTGACAGAACCGGTAGCTAATTTTTTGTTGCCCAGGCCCAGAATGGACTTCCGGAAATGGCATCCACACAGAGAACTGGTTGTTCACATATCTGAATCCCACCACTGGTTATAATCTGCATATTGACTGGCTGGGGAATTATAGAATAGAATAGAATAGAATAGAATAGAATAGAATAGAATAGAATAGAATATAGAATATAGAATATAGAATATAAAATATAAAATATAAAATATAGAATATAGAATATAGAATATAGAATATAGAATATAGAATATAGAATACAGAATACAGAATACAGAATACAGAATACAGAATACAGTAGAATAGAATAGAATAGAATAGAATAGAATAGAACAGAATAATAAAATATAGAATAGAATAGAATAGAATAGAATAGAATCATAAAGAATAGAATAGAATAGAATAGAATAGAATAGAATAGAATAGAATAGAATAGAATAGAATAGAATCTGGAAGGGGCCTTGGAGGTCTTCTAGCCCAGCCCCCTGCTCAAGCAGGAGAACTTATACCACTTCAGACAAGTGGCTGTCCACAAGTTGAAGTCCACAAGTCTTGAAAGTTGCAAAGCTTGGACATCCCTGTTCTAGGACAGAATGAAGTTAGCCAGATGCAAAAAGTCTCTCTTTACCCAGAGAAATATGCCACGCACAAACACAGACACAGTTTATCTGCCAATTAGTATTCTTTGGAACCCTCCTGGGAAAAAAAATGGTTGGCCTCCAATATTTGCTGTCTCAGATCCCAAAAATTCATCGCACAAAATGATGCTGAGATGCAAAAATGGTTCAGCACAGTTGACCTTGCTAAAAATCCAGTTGGGACTGAGATGTCTTCTCCAGCAGAGCTAGGCTAGCAGCTGGGGAAGATCTGGAGGACTTTAATGCAGGGGTCTTCCAACTTGTCCCTTTGATGACTTGTGGACTTCAACTCCCAGAATTCCTCAGCCAGGCACGCGTGCCTGGCTGAGGAATTCTGGGAGTTGAAGTCCACAAGTCATCAAAGGGACAAGTTGGAAGACCCCTGCTTGAATGGGTACATCAAACCCAATCCGGTTTCCAAGTCAACCTTTCTGTTGTTTCTCTTCCAACAGGTAAACATGGTTATTGGGATTCTGGTGTTTAACAAACTTGTATCCAAAGATGGAATAACAGATAAGAAACTGAAGGAACGGGCAGGGTAGGCGTTCTATCAATCCTTCCTCTAAGAAAAGCAAGCAATATCTATATATTTATCTATCTATAATGTAGATGTTTTGCAAAGTCACTTTCGATAACCAGGCAGGAATATTATGGCGAGGAAAAAAAAATGGTGGTTTGGGGAGAAAAAAAAAGCTTCAACCAGCCTTCTGGGCGTCTTCTTCTGACTTTGTGGCCTGGAAAGAGCACGGAGTGACACTACCAGTGGGATTTATTTAAAGAAGCACAAATGCAACAGGAACCTCTTCAATTGTACTGAGCATCAAGAATAGGAGACAGGGACAATCACGTGTCTCCGGATGAAGATATTAGGATGAGTCGCCCCCATCTAAAGGGAAGGAAAAGGGTATTTTTCCATTGCACTATTTAGAGCAGACATGTCAAACACAAGGCCCGGGGCCCGGATGCGGCCCACGAAGTGGTTTCATGTGGCCCGCGAAGCCATCCTGGAAACAGTGAGGGAACGGCCCCCACTGCCTTGGCCCTGGCCCAGGCCGGCCGGGAGCCAATGTACAATTTTGTGGTGGCCATCTATGCTGAAATGCATTCAGTCTTAGCTCTACAAGGCTATCTGGAAACAGCGAGGAACCAGTCCCTGCCGCGTCGGCCCCGCCCCCTGGGTGCATGCTGGGGAGGTGTCACCCTTTGTGAGGAATGAAGAAATGCACCATGCCTTGGTGCTTGCCCCGGTCCCACCCCCTTCTGCCAGAGACCCTCAGATCACTTTACCACTTTACAATGCCTTGGCAAGGCCACACTTGGAATCCTGCATCCAGTTTTGGTCACCAGGATGTAAAAAAGATGTTGAGACTCTAGAAAGAGTACAGAGAAGAGCAACAAAGATGATCAGGGGACTGGAAGCTAAAATGTATGAAGAACGGTTGCTGGAATTGGATATATCTAGTTTAATGAAGAGAAGGACAAGGGGGGACATGATAGCAGTGTTCCAATATCTCAGGGGCTGCCCCAAAGAAGAGGGAGTCAAGCTCTTCTCCAAAGCGCCTGAAGGCAGGACAAGGAGCAACGGGTGGAAACTAACCAAAGAGAGAAGCAACCTGGAACTAAGGAGAAACTTCCTGACGGTTAGAACAATTAACCAGTGGAACAGCCTGCCTCCAGAAGCAGTGAATGCTCCAACACTGGAAGTTTTTAAGAAGAAACTGGACAGCCATTTGTCCGAAATGGTATAGGGTTTCCTGCCTGAGCAGGGGGTTGGACTAGATGACCTCCAAGGTCCCTTTCAACTTTATCATTATTATTATTATTATTATTATTATTATTATTATTAGTCCCACTCCTGCCCAGGCCCCCACAGGCACCCTTGACGCGAACAATGTAGACCTGGCCATGCCCACCCAGTAGGCCACACCCACTCCATCCATGCCCACCCAGTAGGCTGCACCCACCCTGGCCACACCCACCCAGCCCCCAAGGGCAACCGCAATGCTGATGCTGCCCTCAATGAAATTGAGTTTGACACCCCTGATTTAGAGGAAAGAGACAAAGAATCTACTTTCAGCCTTGTTTCTGAGGAATGCTTGGCTTGCGTTCATAGACATCACAGGGAGATCTGCCATCAGTCCAACTTTGAAGTCTTCTAACATACGAGGGCAATTTGGAAATAAACCTACAATACGCTTGGTTATCAAATGACAGACATTCGCAGATACAGAACTTGTATTATGCACATCAGAAAACTACAACGTTACATGACTTTTCGACATCATCGCCCTTCAAATTGAGGCCCTTGTCACAATGTCTTACAAGGTTTGAAATTCCTTAGTCGTCGTCACTTGGCGCTAAATCTGGGCTACGGGGGGGGGAGGGTTTGATCAAAAACATCCCAACGGAACTGCTTCAAAAGTTCTTGGGTGCGTCTAGCGTAGGGGTCTTCAAACTTGGCCCTTTGATGACTTGTGGACTTCAACTCCCAGAATTCCTCAGCCAGGCATGCCTGGCTGAGGAATTCTGAGAGTTGAAGTCCACAAGTCATCAAAGGGCCAAGTTTGAAGACCCCTGCTGTACTCAATTCCAGAAGATTGGAACGGCTGGCAGTAGACCAGTGTTTCTCAATTTTTGGCTGTTCTGTGTGGACTTCAACTCCCAGAATTCCACAGCCAGCATGGCTGGCTGTGGAATTCTGGGAGTTGAAGTCCACACATCTTAGAATGGCCGAGGTTGAGAAACACCTTCTAGCATTCTACAGACGTGGAGAGACCTAGACTTCCTTGTATGTTACAAACCATGTGTTGCACCAAAGTATTTCAGACATCACCACACTTATTCCACCTCACTAGCCTTTAAAGCAGGGGGTCTTTAAACTTGGCCTTTTAGGACTTGTGGACTTCAACTCCCAGAATTCCTCAGCTGAGGAATTTTGGGAGTTGAAGTCCACAAGTCCTAAAAGGGCCAAGTTTGAAGACCCCTGCTTTCAAGCATGAAAATGCATCTTCAAGGACTTCCCAAGGTCAACCAAGCCATCTGAGGTTTCTTCCCTGGAATCAACTCCAAATCTGGCAAGTTTCTTCTGAACAGGATTCAGGGAATCGTTGGTGCTCTTTAGATCAGGTAGATCCCATGTTTCTCGTAACGCTGTTGTAGCCTCTGCAACACACCCATGCTGCAATCTTAATATAAATGTGCAAATCCCTTCATATTAAACGGGGAGACAAGAGGAACGGGAACCAAAGCAGATTTGGACTTGCTGATTCAAACTGGGTCCTCCAGCTCATCCCAAAGATTTCCAAAGGCGCATAGCTCTGCCGTTCCTTTATGGGCATTGCTCTGATATTAAAACCTGGCCCAAAATTTAAATTAAATCCTGCTTTCGCTGGTTATCGACTGTGCTGAAGAGATGCTGGAAATGCAGAATCTTAGGGGGAAAGGGAGGGAGTTTGGGGTTTTTTTTAATGGCTTCCCTTCATGTTGTTTTCTGTGCTCGCTTGTGAACCTGTTTCAAAGTTGTGCTTTTCAATGTGCAAAAGAACTTGTGGGTGCGTAACCCGTGGAGAACGTGGCGGCGTCCGATGGGGGTTAAGAGCTGTGTCATCGCCGGTGACGGAACTGGTGAACTTCAGCCTGGAGTCTTCCCAAACTGCGTTGGAAAGTAAGGAGGGAGTAAATTTCGGAGGCAAGCCCACCCAGAGGTGTAAGCTAGGCGCGGCACCGTGCCAAACGCGCTGCACAGGTTTGTCCTCTCCTTATGACCACAGTGGAACCCAACGGTTTCGTCTGCCAAGCGAAACGTTGGTTAAATTTGGAGTTTGCCACGTTTTACGACCTTTCTTGCCGCCGTGGTTAAACGAATCTCTCAGTTGGGGTTTTTTTTTTGTTTTTTTTCAATTTTTTAACATTTTATTAGATTGTAGAATAAAATGCAAAAATGCAAAAGCCAAGTGAAGGACACAGTGGGGAGAGAAAAGGGAAAGGAAAGTGAGGGGGAGAAAGGAAAAAGAAAAAAAAAGACATTGACTTCCGACATCATCATCATCATCATCATTGAAAAGTTAAAAAAAAGTCAAGGTTTGATATTAATGCTTTATTCTACTGAAATAGAGGAAGGGTTTCTATAGGGTTTTCTGCCTGAGCAGGGGGGTGGACTAGAAGACCTCCAAGGTCCCATCCAACTCTATTATTATTATTATTATTATTATTATTATTATTATTATTATTATTATTGTTGTTGTTGTTGTTGTTGTTGTTGTTGTTGTTGTTTTTATGTGCTCATTGTTGTCGTTGTTGTTATTGTTATTGTTGCTGTTGTTATATAATAATAACAACAGCAGCAGCAGCAATAACAATAATAATAATAATAATATAGTTGGAAGGGACCATGGAGGTCTTCTAGTCTGGACTACTGCAATGCTCTCTACATGGGGCTCCCCTTGAGGAGCATTCGGAGGCTCCAGTTAGTCCAGAATGCAGCCGCGCGGGCGGTGATGGGAGTGACTCGTCGCTCCCATGTAACGCCGCTGTTGCGCGAGCTGCACTGGGTGCCGGTGGCCTTCCGGGTGCGCTTCAAGGTGTTGATTATCATCTTTAAAGCGCTCCATGGCATCGGACCTGGTTATCTCCGAGACCGCCTTCTGCCTCAGATTACCTCTCATCGGCCGATACGCTCCCACAGAGAGGGTCTCCTCAGGGTGCCGTCAACCAGACAGTGCCGGCTGGCGACCCCCAGGGGGAGGGCCTTCTCGGTGGGAGCCCCCACCCTATGGAACGAACTATCCCCAGAGATCCGGGTGATTCCGGATCTCCCCTCCTTCCGCCGCGCCCTCAAGACATGGCTATTTAAGCTAGCAGGACTGGCCTAATGGGTTATCTTAATTTGGTTTTTAAAATAATTTTTAACAAGAAAAGGCCAATAATTAATATTCTATTTTAATTATATTTTAAATTAGTATTTTTGTATTATGTACTTGTTTTAAATGGCTGTAAGCCGCCCTGAGTCCGTTTGGAGAAGGGCGGGGTAGAAATTTAAATAAACTAAACTAAACTAAACTAAACTAGTCCACCCCCCTACTCAGGCAGGAAACTATATAGAAACCCTTCCTCTATTTCAGTAGAATAAAGCATTAATAATAATAATAATAATAATAATAATAATAATAATAACAACAACAACAACAACAGTAGCAATAACAATAATAGAGCTGAAAGGGGCCTTGGAGGTCTTCTAGTCCAACCCCCTGCTCAGGCAGGCAACCCTATAGAAACCCTTCCTCTATTTCAGTAGAATGAAGCATTAACCTCAAACCTCGACTTTTTTTTTTACTTTTCCATACTTGTATAAAACTGGCCATTTCTGTAACAACAAATCGATCTAATCAGTAAAACCCCGAATCACACACACACATGCCCCAGGACACTGTCACCGTCGTAAATACGAGTCAGTGGCCAGGCTTGTGAATTCTGATCACGTGACCATGTGGGGGGGGGGAACTCGGCAACGGTCGTAAGGGTGCCAAATGGTCACAAGTC